AAGTAACTTTTGGCGGAAGCCGGGGGAGGAAAAAGGAAAAAAAGGAGGAAAAAAAAAAAAGAAAGAAAGACAAAAAAAAAAAAAAAGGAAGCTTGAAATACAGACGGATAACAAATCTTGTCAGACGTCTGATTAATTTTTCTACCTAGAGGACCAAATGTTAAAACGTGCCATTTGTTTCTAGCGCTCGGCACACGCAACAAAATATATATCGGTGCGTGGCTTCACGAGCTGACAACTGAAGCAAAGCTTCGTAGAAGAAGTTGACCTACAAAGGCTGCTTAATAACTTTGGAGCATACTCTTATTCTTAAGGTAACGCAGAAAAAGCACCTTCATTATTATCTGGAGTAATAACTTACCGTGTGTGTAAATATATATATATATGTGTACTCAATTAATCGACACAATGCATGCCAATCAAAGGAGAGACAAAGAAACAACTACATGCAGCTCCTGTTTTCTGACAAACACGCTGAGTCTAAAGACTATGCTCTCTAAACACCTCAGGAAAAAAAAAATACTGATTATCTTCACGACACTAAAACGACTGCTTCATAAATATTTTGCTTGCATTTTTGTTTGACTGCAAAAAATAAAGCAGCACAGGATTGCCAATCAATCAGTAAAGAAGCCACTTGCCTCTCCATGGTGTACTTTGAAAAATTAATCAAATTAAGTAGAAAATTTAAGCAACTTCCAGAGCACAAATGCAAGTCATCTGATTCCCCCCTCTCTTTTCCCCTGCCCCGGGAGATAGGGCACCTCGTCTCTATTCTGGCAGGCAGAATGAGAAGGCGTGAGGCAACCCTTTCCATCTGCAGAGAAAAAGGAAGTGAAGCAATTTCTATAAACGATTTGAATTCAATGTTTGCATTGATTTCATGTTTGGCGTATTTTTTTTTTAGAGATGAGTTCAACCAGAATATTCTAATTCAGCTTCCCAACGCCCTACGTTTGGGGTTTAGTTCTTGGTTAGACTGAAAGACGGGAAAGATGCTTAAAAAAAGAAAAAAAACAGTAATTGCATTAGGGACTGGAATTTGAGTGGCTCAGAATTTGGATCTGTTGAGGTCTGCAATTTGGCTTAAACTTATTTCTTATTTTATTATTGCATTTCTAACATTTTTCAAAATTCTTATTTATCATTCCTTCCGATGTCCTGTGTCTCAAGTGCATACTGACGGGCGACTGATTAATTCCTCTAAAAGAGAATGACAAATTAAGGGAGAATTCACTTTTGAAGTACGACCAGGCATGAGAATCACGAAGCCGAGAGCTAATTTTGGAAAAAGTTCTGAGCAACTGCAGAACGGGCTGAACTTTACAGTTCCACATTCGTCTCTATATAATGGACACATTATTTATGTATTATCAGCTGCAGCAGGGTTTGTTTGCACTATTATGAGGATCATGAAGCAGTTTAATAATCTACAGTTCTTGCCTTTAAATTTTGCTAACGCTTGTTGAAGTTTGGTTGCACGAGAAACGAAGGACTGGGCACTACAGAGAGAGGAGGGCAGGAATCACGTCAGCGGTGCCCAGCGTGGTGAAGACCTTCTCGGGTCTTTGGCTCCAGGCTCTGTTTGACAGGTTGACCAGCTCTGCACAGTACCTTTTGACAGCGGACATCCAGGCTGTCAGGCCTAGGGGGTTTCTTGCCTCAGAGATTGGAAAACCCAACTAATTTTAGCATAGATACCGTGCTAAAATCCGTATAGAATTACACACTAGCCTAGGAAAAACCCTGATGAAATAAATGAGCTACCCCCGCCGATCGAGCGGCAGCACAACGCCCAGGGGAGCCCCGGGCTCCGCAGGACCCGCTGCCACCAGGCACAAGGCTAGGAGCCCTCTTCTTGCAACGCTGCAGCAGCAGAGGTACCTACCTCAGCTCGTTTGGCTGCCCGGGCTGGACATACGCTCTCTATATGTACTTCTCTAACAGCAACGCGCTTACCACTATAGGACGCACAGTACAAACTATCCCACTTCTTTCCATGAGGTTTTGAGCACTGTATTTTACATTACAATGAATCTTATCCGATGGTGATGGAAGTACCACGTTAATGAGCTATTTCATGCTTTGTGCTGTGCCTGAAGTACAGACAACAAGGCAAAAGCCGACACATTTTGAGCAAAGTTTGTGCAATAACATTCACCAAATAGTAAAAATGACACAGCAGCTGATCTAAGGTAGCGTCCACGAACCAGATATAGAGCTAAAGGCATAGCATTAATCCCAGTAATTTTCATGCCATCACACCCCAAAATGAGGCA